ATACTGTGGAGGGTCAATTTCTAAATACGCGAAAACATTTGTCATTAGACGCTGCCTAGCGGCAGGTGGCTAGACCACCCGCGTAGATGGGCCGGCGCGTGACCTCTGTGAATCTGGCACCCGACTTTCGAAAAATTAACTTTTTTATATGGAAACAGTTAGTATTTTGTTTGTAATTGTTTGTAGTAACGATAATTTCGTTTGTAGTTCAATCATTAAAAGATATCAAAATTTAAAAAAATGACTTGCATCCGACATTAAAATATTTTAAATCTGCTTGCGCAGTCTTTTTTAGAATCGTTTGTAGTTGTTTGTAGTACTTTTAATTTCGTTTGTAGTCGAACCGTTCAAAAGTTATAATAATTTGAACAAATGGCCAAGAGTGAATTTTGCCATTTTTTAAGCTAGCGCAAATCTGCTTGCACAGTCTTTTTAAAATTGTTTGTAGTGCTTTTCGTTTCGTTTGTTAGTCGAACTGTTCAAAAGTTATAACAATTTTTTTCGTGACAAATTTGTATTCATTTTATTTTGTTGCTAATAATAATATTACTACATTTATAATTACTAAGACAATATAAGCAAAAGTTTATTTTCGTTAGATATAAAAACAAATTCTTTTTTATGTTTCATTTACAAATATTTTTTAAGTTTTATTGAGGACAATTTTTCCCCATGACAAATCTGCGTTCATTTTTTTTCAATTTTTTCTTGGCTAATATTAATATTACTACATTTATAATTACTTAGACAATATAAGCACTGCGCAAGCAGATTTGCGCTATCTTAAAAAATGACAGAATTTCCTCTTGGTCATTTGTTTAAATTGTTATAACTTTCGAACAGTTTGTCCATAAACGAAACGAAAAGCATTACAAACAACTACAAACGATTCTAAAAAAGACTACGTAAGCGGATTTAAAATATCTTAATGTCGGGTGCAAGTCATTTTTTTAAATTTTGATATCTTTTAATCGATGTAACTACAAACGAAAGTATTGTTATTACAAACAATTACAAACAAAATACTAATTGTTTCCATATAAAAAAGTTAATTTTCCGAAAGTTGGGTGCCAGGTTCACAAGTTCAGAGGTCGGCGCGTGGCGTGGGAGACTGAGGGTGCATAGGCCAGCGACGTATGACGCGTAGGGTATGCACGCGTAGGGTATGCATGCGTAGTGCAAAAGTATCGCCACAATAGTATTAATCATCTTTCTGTGTTCGAAAAGCGCTATAATTGACATCTTTTATACTTGATTTTTATACTATTTTTTTTCTATAATACGCACAACGAGAATAAATAAGATAGAAAACGAAAGAACAAGTGAGATAGCATATTTTTTTTCCACTTGTCCGATTGGTGGTCGACGATGTCGTTGAGTCTTGCGGCGAGTTTGACAATTGGTCATAGTTCGTTTCAGAGTGATGTTTATGCGCCATAATCTATTATCTTGTAAGAAGGTTCTAAGAAGCAATATGAGTACTGTTATTTTCAATGCATATATTTTTCATTGTATTATACTTTTACGTATGTATATGATATATTTGTGCTTTTTTATTATGAGACACTACCGTTTCTCCTAATTATTGAATGACAAAGTCATTATATCATTAAATTTGATATATTAGGTTTTTTAGGGCATTATTTATATAATCTTCTAAATATTCATAAATTTTGTGAAAAACTTACAGTAAACAAAAAAACATTATAATACTTAAAGGAATTTATGTAGAAGATAATTCTGATTTAATTAAAATAATTATTGAATATATCTTTTTGATAAGTTTTTTAAATATATCATAATTTTCTGTATTAAATAACTCGAAAGTACTATTATTTTAAATTAAGCATGATATGTATTATAATATAAAATCTGATTAGATTTTTACCTGTTTACATATTAATCCTAAAATATACGAGAATTGCTAATTTTTATTAATACATATAAAAATTTGAATCTGATCATTCTATAGGAACTAAACATGTTCAAATACAAATAATGATGAATGTCCTAAAAGGACTTAATATGTCAAATTTAATGACATTATGACTTATATTATTTATATATAAATTGTAAGAAACATGAAACTATAATGTCTTTTACCATTTTAGATTAATCAATCGATCAATTCTTTCATTGAAATTGACCAATCGCCTTTGTCGTAAATTTGTCAATAGATGCAATTGATCAATTCCAATAGAATAATAGAATAATAAAGTTATTAAATTAATTGATGATGATGGAAATTATTTTAAAATTACTTAAAACTAAATTTAAATGTTTTGTTAAAAGTTCATTTTTTATGTTTAATTTTTAATTAAATTTTTATAATAAAATATTTAATTTAAGTTGATAATTGTGATCTATTATATTAAAATATATTTTAATATTAAAATTGGTAAAAATGAAGATTAGGGAACCACCCTTCAATGGCCTTGACCTTGACATGTTGTCAAGGTCATGACTCTGAATGACCTTCAAAAAGTTTTATCTGTCGGACGTCCTTCGTTAAAAAGTTATAATTATAAAAAGTTAATTAATATTATTATTAATTAATATTAAAAGAGCAATAAAATATAGTCAAGCATATGAAATAAATGATAATTAATATATTAATTATTTAACGGGTACATAGAATTCATAATATTAAAAAAAGCATCGATGCGTTCATTAATGTACTTTTTAAATAAAAATTCTGCGAGATAATGTGAAAAATGATCTCGTATACCATAGCGAGGAATGTGTGATCGCATCTCTCACCACAATCTCTATATTTTGTGTATAAGTACCACTTTCAGGATCAACAAAATTTGTTGTATGATTGACTGTCATATGCGTGTAATTTTCATTATGTAAAACATCGTATGCTCGCCATTTATCGGTATGGATAATAGAACCAGCGACATATTTTTTGATAATTGGTAAAAGAGTTTCGACAGATCGATTTGGTACAGACAAAATAAATACATTGTGTGTATTGCGTTCAATTCCGTCAAAAACCCACTGTCCTCTAATTATACGACCGGTATTGTATTTTCTTTTGCCTATCTTAGCTTCATCTATTCTACTATTTTATCTGATCCACCAATTTATTTTTGTTCTTTCTCAAGCCATTGTTGAAGTAACTAACAATAATTTAATATATTATCTAATAGTAAACATAAATAAATAATAAGCAATATTTTATTTACTTCTCGATAAAAATTTGTCCAATGACAACAGTATGATCGTTAAGTTTGTTTTTTAGAAATCTATGTCGTAGTGGCTGCATCATTAAAAAATAACCGATAAATTGACAAATTGTAGAAAGATTTAAATGTGCCTCAAACCATGTTCCATGGAATGCGCTGATTTTGAAATTACATACTACTCTTTGTCATTTTCGATTTTTAATAACTTTATAATATTTATTTGTACAATGAAAAATATAATTTTCAGCAATATTCGTTAATATTAGTACATTTCGGCATTTCGGACATGTCACTTCACTCCGTGCAACTTTCTTCTCACATAGAAAATTTCACAAATAGTCAAAATTGTACAACATATTAATAAATTTATGCAAATGCATGTTACAATATGTAATTATCTTACACGTATTAAAATTCTTTAAGTGCCTGACTGGCTAATATATATTGTTGGTATGATGGTGATATCGGTATGATGGTCGGTACTGATGGTGATCGTAACACTATTGATCTGTGAAAATCATTGATATCTATAAACGGGATATCTGTAAGCGTACAATAACAAATATGTCCAATATTGAATCATAATTGTTGTTTATTTCTATCGATATTTTTCACAGACCGGTAATTTGGTATCCAAACTTATATATTTTTTTTATATGGTATGAAATTTAATTTTTATCAATGTATTAACATATAGATTTGAATTGAACTTCGTGCAGAAAGTTGTAAATGTGAAACCCTGTTTTGTGTTAAAAAGTGTATGCGTGAAATCAGTATGTTCCGCCTCTCCTACGGGAGAGCTCCACTACCGAAAGGAATAAACTAATCTAACCCTTATTACTGTAACTATAAGATTCTTATTTATCTTATAGTTATTAAGTTGGATATTGATAGTGTAAGGGAATGGGAAGAACAAAAATTAAAACTCTTGGATGAAACTCAGGTTAGAGGATTTGCTAAAATGTTTACGCGCACGCGCTGCATTATTACGAATGATAGAAAAGAAAAAGGGTATCGTTAAAGTAAAAAAAGTCGCAGAAAATAAAACCAACACATTCTTAGCTGCTAAGGTTAGCTGCACTTTGTGTAAAGGAGAGCACCACGTTTAAAAGTGTAGTGTCTTCTTAAAATTATTTCCAAAGAAAAGAATGGAAAGAGTAAAGTTGAAATTGTGCATGAATTGTCTGAAAAAAGGAATTACTTTTTTAAGGAATGCGGATTTGGAAATTGCCGGAGTTGTATAAATAGTAAACACAATACGTTACTACATTTTGAACGCAAAGAGCAACCAGTTTCTCAACCCATTGCTACAATAATACTTGTGTTACAAGTCAGAGCAAAGATTCCAATAATCCAAACGTATTTTAGCAACGGCTTTAGTAATAGTTAACAGTAACAAAGTCAAATGCAAAGCTAGAGCTTTACTCGATTTGTGCTCTCAATCAAATTTCATTTCGGAAGGCCTGTGCGAAAAATTAAACCTAACTAAAATTCCAATAAATATGCAGTTTAAATCAATCGGATTCCAGGATTAATTTTAAATGCGAACTTGAAATCGCGTCACGTAATGGAGGCTTTTGTTTCAAAACTATGTGTCTAGTTACTCCACAAATAATGACATAATACCAAACGATCCATTGATCTAATTAAAGTACAAATTCTTTCTATTAAACTCGCAGATCCTTCGTTCGACACACCGGAACAAATAGATTTATTAATAGGCGCACAATGGTTTTGGCAATATACTATGTGTAGACCAAATGAAATTGAATAATAATCTTATAATGCAAAATGTAAATTGTAAATTAGGTTAGGATGATTCATAGGAGGTTCTATAAATACATCAGCTCCAAAAACTGCACGATGCAACTTTCTCAAAAGTATAAACGTAGAGCAATAATTAACTAAATTTTGAAAACTTGAAAAAGTGTCAATTACGAAAGCATGGTCTCAAGAACAAAGGGAAGGCGAATCTTATTTTGCAAAAACTACTACTACTACGCGACGCCACAAAGAAGAGCATTTTATTGTAAGTATGTCGATCAAGGAATCACCAACTGGATGAATCTAGACAACAAGCTGAAAGATGTTTAATTAATTTAGAAAAGAGACTAATTAATTTAGAAAAGATTTCTTAATCTTTACAACAAATATTCTACATTTTTAAAGGAATATCAACAACTAGGTTACATGACAGAAGTAGATGAGCCGCTGAGTGTACCTTATTGTTATTATTTACTTCATCATTATATGAGAAGAGCGGAAAGTCAGACCACTGAAACAAGAGTAGTGTTTGAAGCTTTCGCACTACAAGCGGAAAATCACTAAACGATATTTTAATGAGAGGACCTGTAATACAAAATGATTTGTTTTCCATTCTTAGGTTTAGAAAGTATTCCTACATTGTGTCTGCAGATATAACGAAGATGTATAGACAAGTTTTAATAGAGGAGAAGCAACGATCATTACAAAGAATACTATGAAAAAATCCTAAGGAATCAATTAAGGCATTCGAATTAAATATAGTAATTTATGGAACATCTTGTGGATCATTCCTGACTATTAGATGTTTGTATCAATTGGATGCTGAGTGCGAGCAAGAAATCCGAGATAGCCAAGGTAATTCTCAATGACTTTTATGTAGATGATTTGCTGACGGATAACAACAACAGAATTGAGGAAACGGTTTTCATTGCCGAGCTAATGTTTCAGGTCCTTGCTGAGGACGGTTTTAAATTGCGAAAGTAGACGTCAAATTCCTCAGAGGTTTTGAGTAAGATTAGCGAAAATAATCAAGCATCAGTTAATGTTCAATTCTCAAATGATGATCAAAGAAAAACCCTTGGCATTAGCCAGAATGAACAAGCGGATGTTTTAGTTTACGCAGTTAATATTCCTAAAAGCAACAAAATTACTAAAAGGCACATCAGTATCCAAAATCTTTGATTCATTAGGATCATTGGCTCCTTATATAATACCAGCCAAATAATGCTGCCTAAATTCTTGGTAAAGTCTTCACAAAACTGGTCTAAAATGCCAAAAGTAGAATCCTTAATAGAAAAAACAAAAGTAACATAAAAAAAACTAGCGATAACACATTTTTTGAAACATTATTGATGCGACATTCGATCTTATCCAAAATAGTTCGAATTCTTTCATATTGCAAAAGATTTGTATACATTTTAATGGAACTAGAGATTAAGAATTCGCAGCTTAAAGTATTCCAAGAGAAAATCTGATCGCTTAGTTCTAACATACCAATTACAAGGGGGAGATTAGTGTCTTTAACGCTTTTTTTGGACGAATAGGGGATACTATGCACCAGAGGAAGATTAAAGAATTTACTATTTGCAATGGATAAAAAATCCAATTATTTTATCTTCTGATCAAATATTTACGAAACGGCTTTTTGAAGATATGTTTACATATTACATTTGTTTATTGCATGCTCTCGCTCTCTATTACTAATTTCTATACAAGATCAATTCTGGCCGTTGAGAGAACGAAAGGCTAAAAAGGTTGTACATGCTTGTAAAAGATGCTTTAGACTTAAACTTCAAACGTTTCAGACTTTGATGGGTAATCTGCAATCGAGAGTGTCGCCGGCATTTCTTTTCTCCATTACAGGAGTGGATTATGCCGGGCCCTTTTTGATAAAGGATAGAAAGAAAAGAAGATATAAGATCAGCAAATGTTATATTACTTTATTTGTATATTTTGTAACAAAAGTCATGCACCTGGAACTTGTATCTGACTTGACCAAAGAAGTTTTTATTGCCACTTTAAGACGTTTCATATTACGAGGAAAACCTTCTTACATATTCCAACAATGGAAGCTCATTTATTGGAGGAAATAACGAACTTATAAAACTTGGAAAATTTATTGCGAAAGAATACGAGCATTTAGGCGAAACAATTGAAGCCCTGGGTGTGTCGACATTTCATTCCTTTGTACATTTCCTTTGTATTCGCCTCATTTTGGCGGTTTATGGGAGGCAAGGATAAAAGCAACTAAGTATCATTTAAAGAGGATTGCAGGAAACGCATTGTTAACGTTTGAAGAGCTCTATAGTCTGTTAACAGGTAGAAGCAATTTTGAATTCCCGACCTTTGACCTCACTATCATCCGATCCAAACGATTTTACTCCCCTGACCTCGGCTCATTTTCTCAAAGGGCGCACATTTATGTCAGCATCCGATTCAAGTTTGATTTATTTAAAGAAAGACTTTCAAACTGGCAGAGAATTCAACAGTTGCAAGAATGAGAAAGATAGAACAAAGAATATATTTCTGAGCGAGTTGCAGCAAAAAACTAAGACATCTGGTTCACTTGGACATCGTGGAAGACATTTTTTTCCTCCGTTAGAGGCCAACTCACTAATTTTGCTAAAGGAAGACAATTTATCACTCTCTAAATGGAGGTTGGGAAGAGTAGTAAAGGTTCACGCCGACTCAGCTGGCATCGCCAAGATTGCTTCTGTCAAGACTGTCACAAGAACTACTCGCAAGGTTTTAGCCAAGTTCTCTATCCATTGCCTCAAAAGGAAGTAGTTGCTCATGTTTAAAAATTTTCAATGACTATTTACACTTACTATTTATATTAAACTATTTATATTCTATATAATTTGCATAATTGCGTATTTAATGACCTTCTAATTTGTGATAGTTATTATTATTTTGAGTTTAATTTGAGCTTATATTTTGCAATCTACTACATTAAGATTAAAAAAAAAATGTTTGTTTCCATTTAAAGTACATATTTGAAAGGCTAGGCTTTCAAGACTGGCAAGTTTATGTTAGGCTTCGCCTCATTATAAAATTTTGTTTGTTCGTTTTATTTGACATATTTTTTATTTGAATTTGTTCTTTTTCGCGCGCCGAAATAGGCAGTGTAACCGAGTACAGCGCCTTTTGCGTTCACTTTCGAAAATAAAGGAGATGGCAAGAAAAACGCAAAAAGAAGTGTACGTTCTTTACTTATTCTCACAAAATCTTGGAAGTAAATTCAATCTATAAGATGGACCCAAATAAGAAGGGAGGGTGTACGTCACGGCGGGGCCCGAACCAGTCGTGAAAATTCGTAATTATTTTGCGAAAAAATACCACCTCAGCCAGGAATCGAACTTGGATCTCCTGCTTACCGAGCAGGCATCTTATCCTTTCGACTAACGAGGCATGTGATGATATTTATCGCAATAACGTGTTTAGAACAACAAGTCAACAATACAATGACATACACACATATACATATCTATTATCTTGTAGATAAGTTTTAAGAAATTCTAAGAATGTGAGTTGTCATTTGGAATGCATGTTTCACCGTATTGTACTTTTACGTATGTATATGTCTGTGCTTTTTAATTTTTAATATTTTTTCCTCAATTTAGTTAAGATTTGTTGAAGTATTTCAGAGTATTTGTTCGCGGGTGGCTAGTTCCATCTCATATGAAGGAGCCGTGTACCAAGATGGGAAGATCGTGTATCGAACAATTCCGTTTTTTAATTATGAAAATATGATTTATTTATCACACATACAATAATGTCGAGGAAAGCGGTATGGCTGTCACTAATTTCGGCTATGGAAGTACAATGCGATTTGTGCACAACATAATCGAAATCTTATGTGGAAATCTTATGTGTGAGTTCACTTCGAATTATGGTTTTGGTCGGCCTTTGTGTACACTTCACACGAGGTCATTCCATTTCTCACAGCAGATGCGGCAGCGATAACGAATTCTCCAGAGACGAGGAGATGGTAGAGGCGAAGACGGAACGGAGAACGTTATCGAACGATTTCTAAAGATCCGTAACAATCGGGAGAAGCGAATGCGAGTCGTGCGCGACGAACAATGCTCACTCGTTTTAATTTCGAAGATCGTAGAAGTGAGCCGCGTTGCGAATTTCACAGAGCATGTGTTTACCGCATGTGTGACTCCAGAGCATGTGTACTCCATGTCAGGTATGCGTGATACTTAGCTTGAACACATAACGAGCGATCCGCGAGAAAATACAAAGAAATTACGGCAATTTCAATTTGATTTATCCTATTCCTAAACAATATTGTTTTACAATTTTTTTCTGAATATCCTGAAAATGTATGTTACATGTAATCTTACAAGTGCAATATGTTTTTTTATACTTTTATTAATATAATATCATTGAAAAGCTAAAAATTTTATTAATAATTATTAAATATATTTTTTGATATATTGTTTAAACAAATATATCATAATATGGTCAAGAGTTGCATAACAATCTGTATGGACTACATTCGAAAACATCCCCCGAGTGACTCCGTTATTATCGTCTTATTCTTGTTTAACTTGGATGAACAACAAGGATAAAACAATACATAGAGTCACTCAAGTGGTGTTTCCGAACGTAGCCTAGATCATAGTATCTGAACAGTTCTAGTTTTGATTTCTGGAAAAAAGCACAAACGCGTACGTAAAAGGACAATATCAGAATGATAAGTATTTATATTGCTTCTTAGAATCTACCTGCAAAATGATAGATTATTACGTACAAACATCAGTCACTTACACTCCAAAACAAATTATCACTAACTGTCAAATTCGCTGCGAAATTCAACGACATCGTTAACCGCCAATTGGACGCGCGGAAAAAGAGCAACAAGCATATTATCTCGCTCACTCTTTTGTTTTCTTCTACTTTCTTACTCTCGTTATGCGTATTTGCCAGTAATCAGTCAATCAGAATCGTGACATAAGGAACAGGGACTAATTAGAGATACATTAACCAATTTTATGCGAATCATATTGTACTCTGCCCGCCAATGATTCGCTAAGCCCTACAATGACCCTGACATAAGTCTGATGATTTGTTGGATCGATAAGATTAATAATCTCGCAACAGAAATTGCAACCATACAAAGGCGACAACGATAATAATAACGTTTCTTAAAGTAAAAATTTACAAATTGGACTTTGATTCTTAATGTCTTTACTCCTAGAGCACGTAGAAAAAAAATAAAATCACTTTTGTTATACAAACCGTATCCAAACTATCGATTGAGCCTACTTAAAAATTGATCGATTCAGCCATTAAAAAGATTTGATAATCTCGAGTGCTCGCATTTCGCCGATTCGCGTAAAGTTATATGATAGTGTTTTCGATTGATTTAACATCCGAGAAACTACCGTGATAGATCTCCTGATATCAAATCTTTTAAATAAACGAAACATGTTATTTGGATTAAATATATAAGTGGCGCCAGTAATTGGTGATATGATGATAATATTAAAGGAGGATTAAGTGAAATAACTTATTGCTTGGATTAAGAGGAAGAATTTTTAATTAACACAAAGATATAACGTATCGTTTAGGATTTATTTTTATGAAAAAATAACGTTTGTAAAACAAAATTATTTTTTATAATCATTAAAATAATATTTTATAAAATTCTTTCCATTAAGAAGTAACATTTTTATATAATAATTTTTCACATACACATATACACACACACACACACACACACACACACCTCACATATACACATAATACATATTGTACATGCATTTGGTGACTTTTTTCTACTTTTCTATAAAAAAGTTTGTTGTGATGTCATTTTGTTGCGTGAAGCTATTTTTTAAGCAGTTTACAAACTTTTATTTTTTGCTATATGTTTACAGCGTAACGTAATAGTAAATCCTATAGAAATCTATATATTTGTAGGAGCAAAAGGGCTAATTTTATTCAGTGGTATTTTTCACATTTATTAACACATACATGCATTTTTGGACACACACGCACGCGCGCGCGCGCGCGCGCGCGCGCGCGCACACACACACACACACACACACAAACAATATTACGCATTTTTTTACCCAATGTCGGAATCTCATACTTTATTTCTCACTGTGGTTAACAATCTGAAGCGTTTTGTGAGAAACTTTCCGCTGCGTTGATCCGCAAATCTTTGATGGCTGCTATCAAAGCTCTACTAATTCGTTACAAAAGTTACCGATTCTACATATTAATATCACATGAAAAGCAATTGAACGATAATGTAGATTAAAAACGCATTCAAATGAACATTTCCAAGGCCCTGTTGGAGCGGTTTAAACGAAACGAGTGGAACTTTTTGCGTTGATTAATAACTGTTGATGAAACTTGAATCCATTACTTCACTCTTGAACCGAAGAAACAATCAAAACAGTGAACTGCGAAGAGTGAACTTGCTCCGAAGAAGGCGAAGATAGTTTCATTGGCCGGGAAGGTGATAGCGATTGTTTTTAGGATAATCATGGAATTGTGTTCATCGATTATCTTGAAAAAGGTAAAGTAACGGAGGTATACTACGCATCATTAATTGACAAACTGAAGAGAACAGAAATTGCGAAAAAATAGCCACATTTGAAGAAGAAGAAAATGCTGTTCCATCAAGATAACGCACCAGTGAAGAAGAAAGTGCTATTCCATCAAGACGATAAAAGATAATCAAGTGCTGTTCCATCAAGAAGATAACTCACACTTCGATGGTTGCCATGGCAAAAATTCAAAATTGTCATGGCGGTTCGAATTGATTGACTATCCACTGTATTTACCAGATCTGGCTCCTAGCAACTTTTTCCTGTTTTCTAGGTTCAGGGGACAGAAATTTTCGTCGAACGAGGAGGTCATCGTATCCATAGGAGCCTATTTTGCAGAGCAAGACGCTAACTATTATTTGAATGGGTTAAAGGGGTGGGAGCATCGCTGGGAAAAGTGTAATGACATAAAAGAAGATTATGTTGAAAAGTAAAACTGAATTTGATCGAAAAAATATTTGTTTCTATATTAAGCTCAAAACTTTTCAGATGACCCTCGTACACACTGTTACGTCCAGCCCAAAGAAAATTAAGAAATTAAGAAATGAATGAAATATGAATGGACGATATAGCTGCTCTCCCGAGAGTCAAACATTGAAACGTGCATCCTCGTCAAAACACACTGTTTGTCTTGGCACTGGGTCAGCGTTGAGGCAATGCTATGACACCGTAGTGTAAACGTACGTTCGTTGGTCTTTTTAGGTCATTAAACTTAATTCTTTTGCACGGGCGCGCGCGCGCGCGCGTGTGTGTGTGTGTGTGTGTATGTATGTGTGTATCGCGATTTAGAAGAGTATGAAGGTCGAGTAGGAATTCTCGGGGAAATTGATCTTATTTCGTTAGTTAGGCGAGAGTGTAAGATCCTGCTCGGTTACAATAATTCATCAATTAATTTAACATCATAACTTAATAACATCATTGTCATGAGATAATGTATAAAGGTAAATGAAATTAACATTGGAGAGTTAAAGGGGGGAGTAGTGTTGAGTTTCCTCTGAGATCATCAAATTGGGAGGATTCATCTAAATTGAGTGGAAAGAATTGGTCGTCATGGAGCCAAAGACCAAGGGATAAGACACTGAAATTGATTGTGGGAGATTGTGGTTCGGATCGGTGTACCGTGGAATAGCTAAGCTCTATCGCATAAATTAAACGTTCCAGCGAGTCGGAAGGCAAATCAGGGAAAAATTGAGAGAAAAGATCAGAGGGGGATTTTGGAACTGGAACGAGTGAGCCTAATTGTAACGGTTCAGCTGGTTCTGTCAACGTTTGATTTGATTGTATAGCGGTGTTCTTGGCCGCGCGTTGAGCTCGAGCGTTTCGGCGATTTCGCAAATGTTTAAGGGAGCGTTTAGACCGTGGAGTCTTTGATCACTGTGACGAGAAAAGGTGGATAAGTAAAGAGAGGCGAGAGGCATTTTTAAAAAAAAGGAGGGGGAAGAGAATATGAAAAAAGATTCATCGATTATTAAGTAACTATGAACCTTCAAAGGAAATTCGGAAATCCGAGAGGTCTACAGCGCTTAGTAGGAAAGATTTGCCGATTATTCAACTACCATGAACTTTCAAGGGTCTTTAACGAAATTCGGAAACCCGAGAAGTTCACAGCGATTAAGTAAGAGAGAGCGAAGGTAAAAAGAAATAAGAAGAGATCCAAGATAACAAATTATTGGAACTTTTCAACTTACTATTTTGCTGAATTTGGGAAAGCGATGTGTGTGCATGAGTGGCGTCGCCGGGAAGACTCTAGGTCACTTGTAGAGATTGCTTTTCGAAATCGGAGTGTATACTGGGAGTACGTTGTGAGTGAACCGAACGAATCGAATGAATTGTCTGAACTAAACATTGCTCTCGAAAGGTCCTGTATACACGGTTCTAATGAGGAAAATTTTTATGTTTTTTTATTTCGTCATTGCTGTCTACGTGATTGTACGCATATTATATATAACTGTACGCATAGCGATTTTGAAAAGTTTAGTCATGTGTTTATTCTTAAAATATTTTTTTATTTTATCATTGCTATCTATGTGATCAACTTCAACGCGTACAGAGTTTAAGAAGTTTAGACATAGGTTTATTTATGAGATAAAGTCAATGATCGGCGGCCCGCGTTTTATAGATTTGACAGTAGATTTTGATGATTCATAAAAAACAAGTTTTGACATTTGATAATGAAACAAAAATTTGGAAATAATGGATCATTCTCTAAAGAAGAGAATCGTGTAGTCGTAACAATACATCACTCCGAAGATTTAATCGCTAGCTATTATGTGCGAGACGCAATGTTAAGGAATGAAGTAAAGAGAATGAACTGTCTTGAGATTGAACTTTTATTTAAGACACAATACACTTAATGAATCGAGATGTGGTGTTTTTACTTCAAGTTTCTGACGAAAACTGAACTTTGTGCGCAAGATGGATCTTTGTTCAAGACGAGATAGACGGTATTTTTGTTAATACAAGAATCAATAATGTAACACGTTTTGATACGGAACATGGTGAATGAAGTGGTTTTCTAAAAGGGAAATCGTGAGAATGTATTGATATGTGTTGCGATGATTTGTTTCGATAGGACTAGTAATATATCTCGCAATCTGTCACGGCGTGAAAGTTTGTCAGGGTGATTGTCTGGCCTTATTTGTTGAGAGAAAAGAAAAGAATTTAAAATTATTTTAGTATTGGTTAGTATTGGTTAGTATTTACTTAAAATCTACTTGACAAAAAAGGGGGGTAAGAGAAAAAAAAGGTTCTCGAATATCGAATTGCACATAACATAGCGCCGCCGCTTCGTAGCAGCTGAAATTACAACCGTATTCAACATAGATGGCGACGATAACAATGAACACAACAACGATAACAATAATGATGATGATGATGACGACGACGACGACGACGACGACCACGACAACAATAAGAACAATAATAATAACAACACAACGACAACGTCTTAAAGTAAATAAAAGTAAATTTCCAGAATCTTTACATCACAATATTTATATCGTAATATTTTTTGTTTATAGAGTACGTAAAGGAAAAATAAATTCACTTTAATTATACAATTCGAACGCAAGCTATCGATTGCATCTATCTAGAACTTAATTTAATGTTATTGAGATTTGATAATTACGGATATTCGCAACTCACCGGCTCGCGTAAAGAGATACTGACGGTTTTGCACGCGTAAAGCGCTAGCATGCACACTTGGCGACATGCTACAATCATGTCTCTTGATATATAATGTTGGAGAAGTTTAATTAGAATTGGAATTAAGTATTCGAATTAAATATGTTAGGATTTTCAGTCCTTAATTGAGAGACACGGTCGTGGCTCGTCATCAAGTATCAGCGTTTCACGAGCGCGAGACCGGCCGTGTCTCTTTATGCGAGCCTGCGAGTTGCTAAGTATCGGATCTCAATAACGGCTGAACAAGCCGATCAAGTTCTGAATAGGCGCAAACGATATCTTGGGTTTAAATTATATAATAAAAGTGTTTTTAATTTTTTTCCACGTGTCCTGTGAGCGGAAATATTACAATTCAAAGTCCGATTCTATAGAAATTTACTTTTAAGAAACATCGTCGTTATTATTATTATCATCGTCGTCGTCTGTATGGACTACGGTTGCAATTTTCGCCACTACGAGGCAGCGGCGTTAGCAGTCAATCTTTCGGAGTGATGTTCGCATACGAGAGCGAGCAAGACAGCGAAAGAGCGAGCGAGACAGCAAAAGAGCGATACGAGAGCGAGAGAGTAGTACGAGAGCGAGCGAGACAGCGAAAGAGCGATTGAGATGGTGAAAGAGCGATATGAGAGCGAGCGAGACATGAATTTTAATATTTAAATGAATGTATATTAATAATAATAATAATAAAATAAAATAATGAATACGACTTGTAATGCGTAAATTGATTCGAGTATGCAAACGATCACTATTTCAAAAGACCGTTATCGTAAAGTTAATATTAATAATTGGCGCCAAGTTATAGTCCTATAAACATTGAGCTACAAATCCACTTCTAGTCAAATTATATATTTCAATCGTATAAAAAATAAACCACTGATAAACCACTGTTTTAAAAAAATAACTGTTTTAAAAAAAGTCAAGTAGTAGTATCTTTAATTTAAAAATAATAAAAATCAAATTATATGTATATCTTTCTACTCATTTAAAACTTCTTTTTCTAACCCAAGTGTTAGTAATTACTTAGCTTTAAAATATTATTATATCAATATATTATACAAAATTGCTTTACTCAAT